CAATGGCCACTTAAACTGGCCATGAGCGTGGAAAGATKTGCAGGCTGGCTACAAGTGAGCTCCAATTCCAGATCCCCGAGTCTGGACACCCCCCACCCCAGGTCCCACCTCTACATGGGGCAGCCAAAATCAAGCAACTCAGCTTGACTGAGCTGCCAAGTGACATAGGCACGTGAGCTCCCAAGAGCAGAGAGGAATGGGAGTTGGCATCTACCAAGCACTGTGTATTCCGTATTTCTATTTCTGTTTCTGTAGGTTTTCTTTTTTTCCTGGCCAAGCTCAACACGTGGTCACTGACCTCTGGAAGCAGCTAGGCCCTATATACAATAAGGTGGCACCATGTTCTTGGGCTCTGAGTCACTTGCTGGAAGCACCTGCCTCTTTTCCGTTAAAGGTAAGATATCACTTTAGCTTTTTTCAATACCCTGCAATGCCAGGTTAGACAGTTCCCAGTTACTCTTCTGGATTAAGATGCTTAAAATCCATGTACATCCCCACTTCAGCAGAATATAGGCAGTGTAACCTACCCTTTAAACCCTTGCCTTTTCATCTCTTGGCATGATCATCGTGACAGACTGATACATGGGAGAGCCACGAAGCACCACAGGATTCACTGACTCTAACTAAAGAAATTTCTAACCATTACCAATAAAATAATTTGAAAATTGGTGTGTGGACACACAATCCAGCATAATCTAAATTTTGCAAGTTATCTTTTAACTCCCAAAACATATAGACTAATGGCTTTTATGTTGTGAAGGGGCAATCTAGCAAAGGTATCGTGGCACCARTAGTCATGTAGTGACTTCAGCATGTCATTTGCTCATAGTCTGCTGCTCCCTAAATCCAGATTCTGACTTTCAGGTTTTCATGAATCTGGAGCTACAAATCCCCCATGTCACTTCTATTACCAACCGTATTTCACATACTCAGGTTTGAATATGACAGTTTTGTGCYTTTCTACAAAGCAGTTCAGGTACAGTTATTTTCACTTCAGAAACATGAAAATGTGGTGGTAAAAAAAAAAGTCATTAATGCATGTATACCCTCCAAAACTCACCAGAATACCCCCCCCCCCAAGTTACTGCAAATACACTGTATATAAAGAACATCTAATTTAGAATCTTCCCTTGCAAAACTTTTCTAAATGGTGTCCAGTCAGGAATATTACACTTCTTGTTATCAATATTTTTTTCAAATGTTAACAAACTCCTTTCCATCTGCTCCCCTTCACTTAACTAATACCCATATATACATATAAAAAGAAAAGGAACACGAATAATATTGCAAGAACTGTCCTGGTTATTCAGAGAAAACTAGAGGAATGTCAGAGGAACCAAACAAGATGCATGGTTATGCAGTACATGGTAAATGACATTCACTGGTAATCATGGTGTGGGGGGCACATTGAAAGGAAGATGATGAAATTAACTGAGCCCATGCAGCCTCAGGTAGCGCTGAGCTCGGTTGCAACGGTTCAGCTGCCTGGTGATGTCTTAAACTATTGACAAATCTGGAGCTTAAAAGAGGCAAATGAGCTAAACAACCCACCACTCAAGGCCCTAGAGTCTGTAAAAGGAGTTTCCAGAATGAGTAACAAGCACAGTTGGGCCACAAGTCATGGATATTGTATTACTTTTTTAAGGAGAGAGAATAGGCAAGGTGGAGGTGGTGTCAGACATCCTGCTGGCCTGCGAGGAAGTGTATTGTGGTTGACGTCTGTGGGGTGAACCTGTGCCAAGTGCAGAACAGGAGGAGGCAGGCAAAGGAAGACCCCGAAATGTTCTTGTGGGCAGGAGCAACTAAAATGGRAAGAGGCAGGAGCAACTAAAATGGGAAGAGCCACCACCAAATGCTACACTAAATGGATGACTGTAAGTTAAACCATTGACATTCTTAACTGTACTTCAGGTTTTGGCATCAAAAGTATAAAAATATTCTGTTATTTTTATTTGTAGATATTTTTAAGATGAGAAGCGACAACTAGGTTATACATTTTTTCTGAAGAATTTGACCTTTATTACCCTATGCCGAGTGTCATACCTTGCACTTCAATAAAGCATGTTTTCCAAATGTTATCTTCTGTGTTTGATTGAAATATAAGATCAGGTCATCTTTTATCTCCCAGGATGGTCTTAATTCTGATTTCTTTTCCACAGAACAATGACCGCTTAATCAAGTACTTTGCTCTGAGTTGGATTATCTGGTTTAAACTTTGATTCTTGCTATGCCTTTATCCACTAGCTTAAAGAGCCCATTAGTACCTGCTGTTATCTCCCTTACTTACACAGTGTAATCATATTTTCTCTTTTCTTGAAAAGCTGAATATATGGGGCACTTGAAATCTCTCCCTGGAGAGGAATTACTTCAAATTATTTTTAGGGTTCCTTTCTTAACCTTCTCCAGTCTTTCAATATCCTTTTAAAAATGCAGATACCAAACCTGGACAGCTTCCAGTATCTGTCTCACTGAGAGAAAATCACTTCCCTATTGCTACTTGTTATTCTTACACATCTGAGGCTTTTTTTTTTTTTTTCCCCTAGGTGTCTAACATGGTTCCTCTCCACTCTGGCCCCATATGCTTCCCTGTGTGCAGTGACCCCCCAAGCAGGTCCTGCTCCAGACAGGCTGGCCCCCTTCTTCTCCTGAAGTCATGTTTTTGCACTAAGCTGTGTTAAAATACATCTGTGATTCTACTTTAACTAAGCCCATCTTACCCAGTTCTTGCTGTGTGACAAACGTAATAAGAATTTCATATGTCATTAAAGAACTGGCCTTCCATACACTATTACAGTCATGGCGCTAGGACTTTATTAAACACACTGATCATTTTCTCTCAAGTGTATCAATCATCATGTTTACTTAACAGGCCATTTCCCATTAAAAAAAAAACTTTCTGGCAGCCATACATTTGATTTTTTCCTTGTTTTTCTTGGAATTGGTTAATGTTAGGCTAACTGTCCTATAACTAGTCACCATATTAGTCACCATACTTCTGTTTTCTGGGTCTTATGAAACACTCCTTCAGTCTTTCAAAATGTCCTTGTTATGCCAAGATTCATTTGAAGTGGTGTCAGACAGTGATTATTCACCCTCAGCCAATTCTTTGGGAATTATTTGTGGATTTTTACAGGTTTTGATGGAGTTTATATGTTCGTAGCAGATATCGCTTAATATCTGTTTTATGAGTTGGTAAACATATCATCTTTATAAAGTAAAAAATATTTATTGAATGTTTACACCTTTCTGCCTTACCCTGTAATAATATTTAGTACTCTTCCAAATATACAAAAGCTTTATTGCCTTAGCCCTGCCAGCAGTAGATTTTTCCCTAATGCCTTTTGCTTCCTTTATGAAGTCTCAACACTTCCTAATTAATATTGATTTCCATCTACTTTCTTTTCTCTACATTTATTCTACCTAATGACTTTTTTTCCCTTAATTGCTGATTTTACTTCTTCAGGAATGGGCTTTCAAACCAGAGTTGTCCACTTGCTAGAATAATTTCTTTTTTGGGGGGAGTGAGCTTTTGTATTTTCCTTCTCCCCTTCTATTCACAGATTTGTTCATTTTTCTCCCAATTTCACTTTTTTTTTTTCTTCAACTTTGAGGAAATAACCCAGCACGTGTGTGTATGTAAAATATGGTTAGAGGTGTGCTCTGTTTGCTCAGCTCAACTGCAACTATAAACTAGGAACCAGCAAATATTGCCACTAGTGAGATATTTGCGCATCTTGTGTAAATCAAAGGGAGTGGTGCTTTTAGCAGGAGATTTTAATCATGAGGTAGCTAAAATGGACACTGTTAGAGATAGCCATCTGTTACAGAGCGTAGTAAAAGTGAAAAGGTGAATTTTTTGCTACTCGCTTGTTTAGAAGAGATAAATATAGTATCTAGGTGTTTTGATCTTGTTGTGTATTGGTAGGAAGCATTTAAGTTTTGGCCAAGCACATAACTCTGAATGTCTGATACAACGACATCCCCCTRCCTTTCCCTGAGGCAAAATTAAGCTTTTTTTTTGCACCTGCCCTTGGCATTTCAGTGCTTCCAGGGATGTGCTCTGTCCTTTTGTGGAGGTTTCCCAGGGAGCATTAGTCAGTAGCCCACCTGCCCTTGGTGAATGCACTCATCAGCTCAGCTCATTGCGGTATAAATAAGAAAGTAATTTGCTTTGTATTTCAAAGCCCGTAGCCATCACAAAATGTATTTAACAAGCACTTTCCCTTTTACGCTGTAGGGTATAACTGCCTTTTAACACCCGTGTTCACAGTAACAAGGGAAATGTCCTCGGGACGGTCCGAGAGCTCCGTTTTAGGAGCAATTGGTCTCCAGTCAGGCCCGTGTCAGCAGAGGGGTAGGTGGCAGATGGCAGGGAGCGCCAAGGAGAGCCCAAGCCTGTGTCTGTGCGTGTTGTAGTTTGTCCTACGGCAGTCGGGGAAGCGGCGTGGGGCGAGATGAGGGATAAACCAGCACCCTGCGGCGTGTTTGAATACAGAGCGCCGAGCAGCAGGGGGCTTCTCGAGGGGCCTCCTCCCCGCGGGGCGGCGACCGTTGCCCCAGCGCCAACGGCCGCCGCGGGGCTCGCCCCGCCCCTCCGCGCCGCGCGCGCCGCCGGCAGGTGCCGCTGCGGCGCCGCCCGCCCGCCCGCGCACGGCGCCCCCGCGGGAGCGCGCGCCTGTGCGCGGGGAGATTCCCCCCCCCCCGCTGCTCCTGCTCGGGCTGGCGGCGGCGGCAGCTGTGCGGGCAGCGCGAGGGAGGGAGGGGAGCGGGGCCGGGCCGGGGCGGGGACGGCCCCAGGAAGCGCCACGGCCCCGAGATGAATTAGGGCTGCGGAGGGGAGGGCTCCCCCCTCCCCGGCCCCCTTCCTGCCCGCCCGCAGCCGGCGGCCGCAGCCTCGCACGCGGGCGCGCACGGCGCAGGCCGGCGGGGGCGGGGGCGGGCCGGCCGGCCGGGGGGCTGGCTCGGCTCGGCTCGGCTCGCAGCGGCGCGGCTCGGCGCGGAAGGCGAATCGCGGCGCGGGCGGCACATGAAGATGGCAATGTCTGTGATCCAGGCGTGCCGCAGCCTGGCCCTCTCAACATGGCTGCTGTCCTTTTGTTTCGTGCATCTGCTGTGCCTGGACTTCACGGTGGCCGAGAAGGAGGAGTGGTACACGGCCTTCGTGAACATCACCTACGCCGAGCCCGCGGCGGCGGGCGGCGGCGCCGAGCTGCGCAGCGAGAAGAGCGAGTGCGGCCGCTACGGCGAGCAGTCGCCCAAGCAGGACGCCCGCGGGCAGGTGGCCCTGTCCGCCTCGCCCGCCGACCGCTTCGCGTGCGACCCGGCCACGCGCTTCAACGCGCCCGCGCCCGGCAAGAGCTGGGTGGCCCTCATCCCGCGCGGCAACTGCACCTACCGCGACAAGATCCGCCACGCCGCCGCGCAGAACGCCTCCGCCGTGGTCATCTACAACGTGGGCTCCAGCAACGCCAACGAGACCATCACCATGCCGCACGCCGGTGAGCGCCGCCRCGCTCGACGCCCGCTCGCGACGCCGCCGGCGGGGTCCCTGGTGTGGGCACGCACATGGGAAAGTTTGGAGCTGTGGGCTTGGGAACGCGCCAAGGCGTGGGGMGGCCCCAGGGATCCTCCAGCAGGTGCCCTATGGGATGGGTGAGAGTGAGACCTTGGGAGAGGAGAGGCACCGTGTTTATGCTGGGTGGGTGTTGTATGGTTGTTGTGGAGGGAGGCGCGATAAAACAGGGAACACAGAGCCCACTCCTGCTTCCCCGTGGCTGTGTGKACGCCACGGAGCCAAGAGGGAATGCCAAGGGTCTGATGTGGTGTGGACACGGGCCGTGTTGCCAAAGAGGGGATCCCGTCTCCCCACATGGGTGCTTGGCGTCCGCCTGGACCGCACCGATGGCCAGGTGTTGGAAAGGACCCTGTCCCCGGCTGTGCCCCCAACCAACCCACCGCTGCTGTAGCAGCATCCTGTCTGAAAATAATGTTGTTTCAGAAACAGATCGCCGGCTTTATTTTTAGGGGCAGAGCTTTCTGGCAGGGGTCATTGGTCTTGTGTGCCTCCAGCCTATTCCATGGAGACTAAAAGCCACCAATTGTGAAATCACTGCCTGGTTTGTGTCCAGTAGCTAATTGTGCCCAGCTGTTTCATGCCAATTGAAATTTAGCAGAGTTGAGGGTAAATTGAAACATGGAAAGGTTGCAAAAGAGGATGGATATTACTCTAATAACATTGTCAAGTCCRCTGCAAAATAACTAGAATGAATGTCCTGAGAAAGACTTGGTTGCCATACAAATGCTGTAGCATGTCTGATGCAAAGTAATGCTTTTGGATCCTCCTGCCTGCAGCCTCTTAAGAGATTAACTGTTTGGCCAAATTCATGTTCTATTGCTGGGATCAGTAGAGGATGGCGATTTATTTATTTTTAGTATTTTTCCATGYATTTTGTAAGACAAAAAACTCCTGACTGCCTGGTTTCTTAAAACTGTGCTTTGTAATGTGCATGTAGTTCAGTAGCTGTTGAGATTATAGTTCTTGTTGCTCTAAGTGTCACAGCTTTTTTAATAAGCAGTGGCAGGAGTGAGCAAGCACGGTATGCTTAGGCACCCCTAAAGTCAAGCTGTTCCAGAACTCGAGCTGCATCACTTGCTCTTGCCTGGTAAGTTTCTTGAAAACCGCCAGCATGTTGGATCAATTACTCGTTTGCCTGTTTTTAAAGTATGCACTAAGCTGTTTTCCCACACAAATGGTGTTTTATTAAGAAACAGTGGGAGTAAAAATGTGTCTAACCTTTTAAAATGTTAGAGCTTTTGTTTGTTTAAAAGTCCAAGATGAAGTAAGCAAGGAATTTTTCTTACTCAAAGTGGCCTCAGCTTTCAAAAATATGAGTACCACATTACTTATGGTGGGAATAGCTTCTTTTATGTCATCTGACTCATTATGGCTTATTTTGAGAATTCCTTTTGAATACTTGAACAGCAGTCAAGTGGTACCCGTACCGTAGGTTGAAATGTAAGGAAGCTTGCAGATGATAATGCAGACTTGCTGAGTGTGATCAGCAAAGGGTTTCCTGACTGATTGCATTCATTTTAAGGAAAAGGATTTTGTTCTGTGAAGTTGAAAAATGATTCTTGCTCTTACCTTAGGGAGAAAACTTACGCCCTGCATGCAGTCAAAATACAGAGGAGTGGTAGAGCTAAGTCTGCTGCAGAAGAAGGAAAAATGTTTTTTAAAAAACAATTTGATGAAGAGGCAGAGGTCCAGAGTTGGATTTAGTGCACAAGCCGGGAAAAATCTCTCTCTCTCTCTCCGACTTGCAGCTTATGACGTTCGCTCAGTCCCAGTGCAAATGATAGCACCAGATTCGAGGGAAGAATGAATCAGGTTCTCGGCTTCTGAGTTCAGCAGCATCTGCGATGCCTCTGCCCACGCCAAAGCCTGTAGTGGGAAGCAGAAAATTCCATCCCTGGAAAACTCTGGGCAAGGGGGAGGGAAGAGGATTGACATGTGACCTAAAAAGGCAATTTAAATATGATGTTACTTATTTTTTCAGATTTTTTTGTGTGATTTCATATCTAAGCGTAAGCTCCTTCCTTATAGAAAATAGTTTTCTCTTGCGTAATTGGCTTCTGCCTTGTTCTGTATATTTTGCTTTCTTGCCTTTGCTCTCATCATTTTTCCTCCTTTTTCTTTATTCTTCTTTCACTGCTGCTCTCACCTCCCTCTGACTTCTTCACCTCTTCCCCTGTGCTTCATTCCTTCTCCTGGTCAGGTTACCCTGTTATTTTATATCCCTTTACCCTGGCCTCCTGCTTTCTCCCCAAAGCTCTTTCTTTTGCCAAAACCTCTTTGCTCCACAGCTGTATATRCAATCAAGTTGCCTCTTCTCAGCTACAGTGTGTGTGAATCAGCCCTTTGCTGTAATGATGCCTTCTGATCTTAAAATCTATAAGAAACTGTAGCAAGATAGTATTACCTTTAGAAGAGGGTTAATAGACCTTCCTTTCTCTCACCCCTTCCCCACTCCAAAAAGGGTGGTGTTTTATTAAAGCTTGTTATGGAAAATTTAACATGCAACTTTCCAGAACTTATATCTAGTACAGTAGACAGAACAGAGCAGGTGTTAGATTTGAACCGGTTTGATCACAGTATTTTCAATCTTTTCTTTCAGGGACCCTGTTCTTAGGTCATTGCTCACACATCTAGAAGGATGAGATAAGAGTTGTGACGTCTGTGTTCGTGGAGTCAGAAGTCTTTGGTCCTAGAGCTGGGAGACGCTTGGCATTTGCATCGTCTGCCACAGCCTCTGTGAATCACTATTTTTATTGGCTTGAGCTGCAAGTTTAGGAGTAGCAGCTCTGGGTCCAACCGTGTTTGCTTTCTGTCTAAGTAGGTTTTAACCAGTGGAGGAACAAAGTGCTTAGAATTCATCTTTTTGTTTGTTTGTTTCTCCCAAATCAACTTTTCTAATAGAAAAGTTCTCTAATAAAAGGGAGAATATTCTCTCTCCTCCAGGAYGATAATCCGTAACGTCATTCAGGGCATTTCTTTGTTACTCAGAACAAACTGTCTGTTATTTAAGTTTGAAAAGACTGCTGTGTCTACCTTTAATAACTTAGTATTATTGGAAGTGCTTTCACTGCCTGCCTTAGCAAATGCTCTCACGCTCCCTCTGCATACTATGGAGAGAGCTGGCGGGCCTTCCCGAAGCCGGCTCAAGGTGAGAGCTCCCCTCTCTCCAGCTTTCGTTAACTATTCAGGGAACGTAGGGAGACCGCTGCTACCTTGGGCGCCTAAGGTAAGTGCGTGAGGCTAGGGAGGGATGTAAACTGATTTTATACACTGACATAATGTTTATGTTCACATGCATGATTCATGTGTATGCATAAAACAAATTCTTAGTAATCAATGTGGTTTGGGACATTCAGTTTGAATTCTGGGGTGCATCGGAGCATGTCACAATACATATGCAGAGTAAATTGCATCCTAAGTATTTTGGACCAGAGGCAGATGCAAGTCAGGCAGTTTTACACTGTGCTACATTCTACATTTACAGTGCTTTCCATCATCAATTTTGAGTCACGTGCTGCATGTATGACAGCCTAATGAGAGGCTATGAGAGGCGGATGCYGCAGAGTGTTTTTGTAATGGCTTGTACACACTGGTAGTAACTGGGAACTGTGCTCTCTTCTTTGAGACATAATTCTCCAAGGTGGTCCAAAGTGGCTGTAGCTGCTCCTCTCCCTCATCAGCATGCACTTGGTCATAGGAAGAGGGCCGTGGGCGCTCCACCAGAAAGCCAGGTGCAGTCCTTTATGTACATASATATATACATACGTAAATGCTTACTTTGGATGTGGCCAGCCATGATCCATGCCACAGCTGCTTCCCTGGAGCTCAGATTTCTATTCCTTGGTTCAGGTCATGAAGGTGTGGATAAGTGTGAATTAATCAAAGTTTGGAAATTTCAAGCAGTGAGAGCCTGCAGTAACTCTGTTCTAGGCTCCCAGGACTCATTCCTAATAGCAACCAACTCCACAGGGGATGGAAGTACAGATCAGCACATCCCTGAGCCTTTTCCACCATGAAGTGAGAACAGGCTAAGGTACATTGCCATCCTTACGAACTTGGAGGAGTCCTGCATTCATGATGGAGGCCTGGCTGCCAGCACTTTTTGAAACTCCAGCTTCTCACGTTTATCGAAGCTGGGGATTTGTAGCTGGCTAGAGCCACCTGTGTGCTGACAAGCTGTCCCTCCAAGCTGACTAGTGAGCCACATGGTAGCCTGGCAGTTCTGCTAGTGGTGCAGGGCTGGGCTTCCCTATTGCAGCCAAGTTCTTTTCTGCCAAACAATGAGGTAACTTTGTGATATCGATAGCTGTTTTAGCTTCAAATGTGTTAAAAAGGATAACTGTGGTTCTAGTAACTAGAACAACAGAAATTCTTTGTTTCTTTTCCTACATTGGACAGCCACTTTAATGCTGACTGACTTGTGCCATTACAAAGATACACTTCTTGCTGTGTTAAATCTTGCCTACCCTTTTAATCTTACTTGAATGGCTTGGGTGTCTCCTCCAAAGCCCGTTGTAGTCAATGGGCAGACAGTGAGTCCGTTGGGCTTTGGATTGAGTTGTGAGATGGAGGTTGCCCTACAAAGCGGCTGACTCTTGGTTCATTGGTGGTTGTATTGATCTTCCAAACTTGACTTGCTGATTGCAAAGCAGCTGGGTTCCTGCATTCTCCTGGGCTATCTGCAGCACTGGCTCGCAGCGTTATTCATATGAGTGCTCTCTTCAGCTCTGCAGAAAATGTGACGCAGCAAGAGGAAAATCTTGCTCAGATGTGGATCTTTATCAGCAGCAATTCCAAACCAATGGCTGGCTGTTAATGCAGGGCTCCTTTTTTTGATGCAATGCTGTCCTTGGGGGGATGGTTTACTCTTGATACAGTGATGGTTCGTCGCTGTTTCTTCTAGTCCTGCTGGTATTATGACTT